GTATCGGTCCAAGGACCGAGCCCTGTGGGACCCCACTGCCCACACCCTTCCAGGTCGAAACCGACCCATCTACCACGACTCTCTGGGTGCGACCCTCCAGCCAATTCACCACCCACCGGACTGTGTAGTCATCCAAATCACAGCCTCTTAACTTGTTCACCAGTATGGGGTGGGATACCGTATCGAAGGCCTTCCTGAAGTCTAAGTATACGACATCCACCCCTCCTCCTGTGTCCAGGCGTTTCGTAACCTGGTCATAAAAAGAAACTAGATTGGTCAGGCACGATCTGCCTGCCACGAACCCGTGCTGGTTTCCCCTCAGCATAATTTGTCCTGCCGGGCTCTCACAAATGTGAGCCTTGATAATTTTTTCAAAGACTTTGCCAAGGATGGAGGTGAGACTGACTGGCCTATAGTTGCCCGGGTCCTCCTTCCTCCCCTTTTTGAAAATGGGGACCACGTTGGCCCTTTTCCAGTCCTCCGGGACTTGGCCCGTGCGCGACGAGCTTTCAAATATTCCCGCCAGTGGCTCTGCAATGATGTCGGCCAGATGCTATGTAGATGTGTACATGTGAGTGTGTGTGTGTGTGTTTCTTCATGGGGGTTTAGGTTGTAGCCGTGTTGGTTTAAGGATATAGGCAGACAAGGTTCCTTGGGTGAATTTGATATCTTTTATTAGACCAACCCAAATGGTTGGAGAATAGTTATTAAGCAAGCTTTCGGGTTCAAAAACCCTTTGTCAGGCTAAGGAAGCTGCAGCAGTTGGTGTGTGCTCTTCCTGGATGTGTTTCTTCATGGTAATTAATAATCAATCTGCTTTATTTTAGGAGAGTTTGGTGAAGTGTGCAGTGGGCGTCTAAAACTTCCAGGCAAGAGAGATGTTGCAGTAGCTATAAAAACCTTGAAAGTTGGTTATACAGAGAAACAGAGGAGAGATTTCCTATGTGAAGCAAGCATCATGGGGCAGTTTGACCACCCCAATGTTGTTCACTTAGAAGGGGTTGTTACCAGAGGTAAGCAGTGGCTAGATATGTCATACAAATAATAAGCTAAATCGCAGACATTACTTTCATTTATCCATGGTCAGGGATTCAAATTATAAATGGACTGCATATTCTTAATGGATTTTCTCCTCATGCATAACTAACTGAAACAATACTTACTTTACGTTACAACCTGAGGAAAAAATTAAGATGCATGCCTGATTAAAAGATGAAGTACTTTGAAATATATTATTTTTCTAGTTCCATTTAGCCTCAAAGACCATGCAGGGAAATAAGCTTTTGTATGTCCTTCTATATTATCTATAGTGTCATTTTGCCAGAGTCCTGTTCACACAGCAGGAGTCAGGAGAACACACTGACATTTTGATTTCTACGGTTTAATTTTATGAATCATGACCATGCTCCATGCAAACATTTAAGGACTTATTAGAGCCCAGTAACAGTGCTGGAGGCTTCAAGAACGCTCATGTCTCAACTATTCAGTTGTTCAAAGGAGCAACATGTGCTTTATCAGGAAAAGGCACTCAGTTTGGATTATTATTTCTCAAATAAAATGTGCCTTTTTTCTTTTAGGGAAACCAGTCATGATTGTAATAGAATACATGGAGAATGGGGCCCTAGATGCATTTCTCAGGGTGAGTACCAAAAGAAAACATATACAGTACCAATTTAGTATAATAAAACTTTTTTCAGGCTAAAATGAAATATGGCATGCAGAAACTAGCAGATCTCTAAATTGTCCTAGAAAATCAGATTATAAATCAGAAGACCAAACTGGATCAAACTGACACAATTCTAGACCTGTAAGTGATCCAGTGTGGTATAGAAATAATGGTTTTGATTACCATCCTAGTGTGAGGTTAAGACCACTGACACCTGAAGCCGTATCATGTGAGCACATGCTGTTTTAGAATAGCATTTTATTTTTTCAGTATGGTGGAAGTCAGTGCACAGGAATCCCTAAATGAAGTATAGTAGTGCTTCAGAGAAAAATGAAGTAAAAAGAGGGGGAAAATGCACTTTGCAGCAATTTAGCATTTGCTGAGTGAGTTCTCTGAACTACCAAGCAGTCTTTTCACTATTTTAACATCCCATGTGTACAAGACAGAAGATGACTTGTAATACTGTTGAGCAAGCAGAAAGATGATGTTCTTTTGATCAGGTCTATGTAATAAATAAATCTCTTGTATTTAGGATAACCTGAAGTGTTGATCCCAGAAGTGTAATACGGTTTATTTTCTAGATAAATTTCGCCATCATAAACGGTAAAGAAGATGTAGTCAAACTGTAAACAAAGTTATATAAAATAGTTCATTTAAGGAAGAGGCAGTCTTGCCACAAATTAACTAGGATTTTATATGCTCATGTCTCAACTATTCAGTTGTTCTGAATAGAACAGCAAGTTCTGTTAGTTCCAATAGATTAACTATTTGTACCTTTCTCAAGAACCTCTACTATTTTGTTTGGAACATATATATATATATAATTTATATATATAATTTATATATATATATATAT